GTCAATACAGAATATGAAAAACACCTTCATTCAAGTTATAATACAATTAAAGTGTCTATTTCTAGCATTTAAAATTGCATAATCCAACATGCCCCTTGTGCAATCATATCACATTCATAATAATGGGTGACTTGCTGGAAAATAAATTCTGAAATTAAATGTATCTTTCAGAAAAAATGCACAAAATATTGAATTTTTATCTGAAAGATATTCACAACTGAAACAGTGTAGCTTTGAAGTAATTTTACACAAGTGGATTTCATAATTACTTCCAAACAAGATCACAAGTGTCTTACATCCATCAAAATACTTAGAAATGCAATTCCCGCAAACAATTTATTCAGCAATAGAGTTTAATAAGTGAACCAAGTTTGGGAACTGAATATTTATGGGTCACAACATTTAAGAATGATAAGCAAAAAGGTAAAGAAGGTCAGGTAGCGCTCTTAATAAGTGATGAGATCAGTACATTAGTGAGACATCTTAGATCAAAAGATCAAGATGTAGAATCTGTTTGGGTGAAGTCGAGTGACTGCAAAGGACAGCAAACATTGGTGGAAATTGTTTTATAGGCCACCAAACAATAATCATGTTTGGGCATTATCAGAATTAGGAAATTAGGAATGCATGTAATGCAGGTAATACATTCAATTTACTTATGGACTGGATCAACTTATTCTGTGTTGTGGCATGGGATAAATTTCTGGAGTATGCATGAGATGGGTTTCTGGAACAGTATGTTCAAGAATCAACTAGGGATCAGGCTATTTTAGCCCGAGTATTAATCAGAACTTGAGAAAATAGTGACCATCGTATGATAGAATTTCATCAAATTTGAATGTAATATAGTTCACTTTGAAAGTAGGGTCTTAAATCTGAATGAGAGAATTTGATGGTATAGGAGGCAAGTTGGCAATGGTAGATTGAAGAAAACACACCAAAAGATTTGACAATAGACCTGCTATCATCAGTACTTAAAAGAAGTACAACATGATTAAGGAAAAAGAAAATATAAAACTAGCGAGAAACAAAGGAAGCTATAAAAGCCTCTTTAGTTATGTGGAAAGGCAAAGACTTGCAGGCCAAATATGGGTCCATTACAGTTGGAGACAGAATTTATAATGGACAAAACAGAAATGGAGGAGAAACTACAGTTACTTAGGGTATCTTCACAGAGAAGGGTACCTAAAATCTCCTAATGTTATAAGGCAAACAAGTCGGAAAATAAAAAGCAGAAAGGCAGAATATTTCCTACTTGGAGACAATAAAAACTGCAGATGCTGGTAGCCAGAGTCTATAGGTAGGAGGCTGGAAAAGCACAGCAGGCCAGACAACATCAAAGGAGCAGGAAAGTCAATGTTTCAGGCCAAAAGTCTTTGTCACCTACATGATAAGAAGTTCGGATGTCTGGTGTTCAAAAGGATGTCCTTGATTATGAGTCACTAAACACTAGCATGCAGATGCAACAAGATAAGGAAAGCAAATGGTATGTATTTGAGTCCAGAAGTAAAAGTGCCTTGTTGCAATTGTATAGAACCTTGGGGAGACCACACCTGGCACACTATGCAGAGTTTTGGTCGATACGGGTTCACCAGACTAATCCTGGGCTGGTGGGATTGCCTTGAGGACAGATTGAGAAAACCAAGCCTGTATTCTCTACAGTTTGAAGAATGAGAGGTGGCCTAATTGAAACTTACAAAACCTTTACAGGGCCTGACAGGCGAGATGTAGATCAGGTGTTACCCCTGGCTCAAAATAAGTGGTAGGCCATTTAAGACAGAGATGAGGAAGCATTTCTTCACTCAGACGGTGGTGAACATTTGGAATTTCCTAATTCAGAGTGATGTGGAAGCTCAATCATGGAGCACAGTCAAAACAGAAATTGCTGGACTGCTGATGATATCAAGGAATATGAAGATAATATGGGGAAAGTGGCATTAAGATGATTAACCATGCTCTATTTGAACGTCTGAATAATCTCACAGGGCTGAGTGACCTACTCATGCTCAGATAAACCACACAGTTACCCTCATGAGAAAGGGGAAAAAAAAAGGTACATTTGTGCAAAGATTTTGTTGGTTGAATTTGTGGGGACTTCTCCAGATTTGATTCCTGTCATTTGTATGTTGTACGTCATTAATGCCTGTTTAAATTATCACAAAAATACACCTCACTGTGGATGCAGAACTAATGACACATATTCTAGTTAAAACACTAGCAAATATCATTTGAGACCCTCAATGTAAAATTCTGGTTTCATTGTTATCTTGATCTCTATGAACATAGTTAGTCTTAATCAGAGATCTGATGGTGATTTTAAAGGTGCCAGGATAAATTTCCTCTGGGTGCTCCAGTTTCCTCCTACAGTCCAAAGACGTGCAGGTTAGGCTAAATTACCTATAGTGTGTAGGTTGGATGCATTACCTGTGGGAAATGCAAGGATAGGGTAGGAAGGTGGGTCTGGGTGGGATGCTCTTCAGAGAGTTGGTGTGGACTTCTTGGGCCAAATGGCCTATTTCCACACTGTAGGGATTCTACAAAAAGGCAATCTTTCATACAGGATCTTTGTTTATATGAATAGACACAGACAGCAAAAACAAGTAAATTCTGCTAAACCATTACAAAACATTGGTTAGGCACCAGCTTTGTGGCCATTTCTAGGCACCACACATTCTGCTTAATGTTGAGGCCTTAGAGAACAGGCAGAATGCCAACTGGGTTGAAAGGCTTTGGTTATAAGGAAAGAGCAGAGCAAGCAGGATCGTTCTCCTCCTAGCTGAGAAAGTTAAGGGGACATATGAAACAGGTGATTAAAATCATGAAGATCATGACCATGTAAATATGATTTCCAATGGAAGATGGGTTAACAACCAAAGGACAGAGATTTAAGCTAACTGCCAAAAATAACAAAATGATTTAGATGAGAATGTAGGAGACATGGTTAGTAGGTTTGTGGATGACACCAAGATTGGACATTGAAAAAGGTTATCTGAGATTACGAAGAGATCTTGATCAATTGGGTCAATGGCTGAAGAGTGACAGATGGAACTTAAATTGGATAAATGTGAGGCATTACATTTTGGTAAAACAAACAAAAGCAACGACTGACTAAAGACAGTCAACATGGCTTTGTGCACGGGAAATGATGCCTCACTAACTTGATTGAGTTTTTCGAAGTAATGAGGAGGATTGACGAGTGCAGAGTGCTGGGCATGATCTAAATGGACTTCAGTAAGGTGCTCGACAAAGTTCCTCATGGGAGACTGGTTAGCAACGTTAGATCACATGGAATACAGAAAGAACTGGCCATTTGGATACAGAACTAGCTTGAAGGAAGAAAATAGAGGCTGGTGGTGGAGGGTTGCTTTTCAGACTGGAGGCTTGTGACCAGCAGTGTGCCACAAGGATCGGTGCTAATAATTTATATAAATTATTTGGATATGAACATAGGAGGTACGATTAGCAAGTTTGCAGATGACACCAAAAATAGTGGAGTAGTGGACAGCGAAGAAGGTTACCTCAGAGTACAATGGGATCTTGATCAGATGGGCCAGTGGGCTGTGAAGTGGCAGATGGAGTTTAATTTAGATAAATGTGAGGTGCTGCATTTTGGAAAGGCAAATCAGGGCAGGACTAATAAATTTAATGGTAAAGTCCTGGGGAGTGTTGCTGACCAAAAAGATCTTTGAGTGCAGGTTCTTAGTTCCTTCTTCTCAGGTAGACAGGATAGCGAAGGCAGCGTTTGGTATGCTTGCCTTCAATGGCATTGAGTAGAAGAGTTGGGAGCTCATGTTGCAGCTATATAGAACATTGGTTCGGCTATTTCTGAAATACTGCACGCATTTCTGGTCTCCCTACTATAGGAAGGATGTCGTGAAACTTGAAAGGGTTCAGAAAAGATTTACAAGGATATTACCAGGGTTGGCAGGTTTGAGCTACAGAGAGGCTGAATAGGCTGAGGCTATTTTCCCTGGAGTATCAGGCGCTGATAGGTCACCTTATAGAAATTTATAAAATCATAAAGGGGCATAGATAGGGTAAATAGACAAGATCTTTTCACCGAGTTGAGGGGAGTCCAAAACTAAAGGGCATAGGTTTAAGGTGAGAGGGGAAAGATTTAAAAAGAACCTAAGGGGTAACTTTTTCCACAGAGGGTGGAATGAACTGCCAGTGGAAGTGGTGTAGAGTGGTACAATTACAACATTTAAAAGGCATCTGGATGGGTATACAAATAGTAAGGGCTTATAGGGATATGGGCCAAATGCTGGCAAATGGGATTAGATTTATTTAGGATATCTGTGCAGCTGTACAGCTCTACGATTCTAAGACTTATACAATTAAAAATAGGGCCTTGGATAGAATTGTAGAACAGTGAGACCTAGGGGTTCAGGTACATAATTCTTTGAAGTTTGCATCACAACAAAAGGGTGGTTAAGGCATTTAGCATGTTTGCCTTCATTGTTCAGACCTTTGAGTATAGGAGTTGGGATGTCATGTTGAGGTTTTTGGACAGGACATTGGCGAGACCGCTTCTGGAACTGTGTTCCCAGTTCTGGTCTTCCGGTCATCGGAAAGATATTATTAAGCCAGAGAGGGCTCAGAAGAGGTTTACCAGGATGTTGCCAGGAATGGAGGGTTTGAATTATAAGGAGAGGCTGGATAAGCTTGGACTTTTTTCACTGAAGTGTAGGAGGTTAAGAGGAGTACAGACGAGGTGAATGGCAGGTGTCTTTTCCCTAGGGTGGGGGATTTCAAGACTAGGGGGCATACTTTTAAGGCGAGAAGAGCACAGAGTGGTTCCTGTGTGGAATAAACATACAGAAGATGTGGTAGATGCGGGTACAGTTACAATGTTTAAAAGACATTTGAATAAGTACATGAATAAGAAATGTTTAAAGGGATATGAGCCAAGCACAGCCAGGTGGGACTACTTTGTTTTGGGATTATGGTTGGTATGGACTGGTTGGACCGAAGCACCTGTTTCCGTGCTGTGTGACTCTATGACTTTATAACTGGTGATAATGCGAATTTTTTTTTTTAAAAAAAAGACATAGTGAATTGCATTCATTTGGAATATTCTGTCTTTCTAAAAGGGTGGTGGAACTGGATTTCACAATTGCTTTCAAACAGAAATGTTGGCTCTCGAGAGAAAGAAGGTTGGAGGGATTATTTAAATAATTCTTTCAAAGAACCTACACAGTCTCCTTCTGTGCTGTACAGAGTCCATGATTCTGAAGCACAAAAGGATGGAATAGAATATCCTTTATTGCCACATGCACTCCAGTACAGAAGTACAGCAGTGCAGTGAAAAGTTTTTATAATGGCTGCCTTTAAATGGCACCATCTTAGGTACAAATCATACAGGGCTGTTACAGAGTGAAAAAGAATATAAAATTAACATGCAACAGTGGCAGGTTTCATTGAGAAAACCACCCTGGAAAAATAAATCAGACCAACAGTCACCTAACAGACAAGAAGTTTCGGAATTTTTTTTTTGATCAACAGAAGACAACAGATAAATTCTCTTGGTACTGATGGAATAAAAGAAAATCAAACAGTGTATCATCTCTTCCTCATAGGTTGGATTGAACGACAGCAGCTGGGTGTTGAAACACTAGGTGCTCTTCTAGAAATACTAGGATCTTCTTCCAGGAATCCTCTTGAGCATCCGAGTGAGGTTTTGCTTGTCCTCCCCACAAAATTGTCACTATAGAAAGTGTAAAATGAGGAACCAATAGTTAGCAGATTTGATGTTAGTATAATGTTTTAATCTATACTATGGTTGGGAGGTGAATAACTAAACAAATTCTTACAACTACGGCTTAACTGTTATTTTTGTTAAATCCTTGTTGTAGAAAGACCTGCAATTTGGATCCTGGAAGAGATTATTGCAAAACATTGAACTTCACAGAATTGAAAGTAAACGCTTTTGGAATTTCTGTAGTGCCCTTCGATATAGAGAGCTCGAGATATATTTCTGGCTTTGTTTCAAAAAGCTGTTTTGTTCTGAGTAACAATGATTTCTACAATAAGTGGAACAAGTGGATCCTCTCCTAAGTTTTTCGTTAATTAATAGTCGCGCATTTCCATTACCTTCCAAATTGCTTCTAAAACAAGTGAGTCCAAAACATTTGGTTGTTTGAATGTATGCGTAGATTTTTAGATCAAGCAAATTCAAAGGAAGTCACTATTGAATACATCAGGGGCCTTCAGCAAATTGTTTTAAATCCATATAGAACTCTTCAGTTGGGAGGACACAGATCATTCCACACCCTGGACTATGAGGAACTGGAAAATGAAAGTGTTTGGACATTCTGGGAAAAGGGATTTTTAAGCGTGTGATTTCTGGGAGCTGTGTTCAACAGTAATTGCTAAAAAGTCAAAAGTTGGACACGTGTTGTGGTTCACAGTGCTAACGAAGTCAACTGATTTTTTTTTGGAAAAAATGCAAGCCAAAACTCTAAAAGGGAGGCAAGGGCCGGTTTTACGGCCCATTATTGCTGGACAGAGTTTATTGAAATAATCTGATGAAAGTCTCATTTGTTCTGGATAACAGTAATAAAAAAGAAGCAAATTGATCATTTTGGTGATTAAATTAAACATTTACACTTTTGGAACAGTTCATGGACTAGTGGGGCTTGACTCCCTCTTGACGGAGTTGTTACAATACTCATGAAATAAACTGGTGCACAATCAATTAAATTTATATTTAATCGCAGAAGGGAATAAAAAGCTCAAATTTTTTGCCAAAACAAAATTGGATGGATTGGAGGGAAAAAGTATCAGGGCTTCATAGATAGATGGGATAACAAGACTAAATTAATTGCTTAAACAGAGAATTGGCATAGACTTAAGAACCAAATGGCCTCCTGTGTCATGACCATACTATTGTGTAATGTGCAGAATATCATCTTAGGATCTAACAAATGATGATAGCACCACCTAAAATTGTTTGAATTATTAAATTGTTTGGACTATAAAGGTGGTGTATCAGTAGTCAGAGTGTTATTCTGCTTTAGGTACAGACTCACCCGGTTTATCTGCAGAAGGCACCCTAAACTTGGATTCTCTGAAGTGGGGGCTATATGGAGGCTCAATCAGATGTCCAGTCTGAGGGTATGACAGTGTTGTGAGCAAGTGTTCCTTCCCTGCAGCTTTCAACATCTTCCAGATCTGAAATGGAAAAGTAACCAAACGTACACTTGTAATACTCAGCATTCACCAGAAATCACATACACAAACCAATTAATTAACTTTGAAACAAAGTATAATACCCATCTACCTCCACGGCTGATTCAGGTGCAGGCCAGTTCTGATCATCATCTCCAAAAATAAGCATCAAGGGGCATCTGATTTTATCAACCTGTCAACAAAGCACAATAGGTAATGAGTGAAGAGTTAACAGTTTATTCGGGAGTATGAACTGTTGTAATAAGAGCTGAGAGGTGTAAAAGAAAGAAGTACACAAATCCTTTGTGTAACTGAGAAATATGTCTGCAAGGTAATACCTTGGAAGCTATCTCATTTCAGAAATTTCTCTACATTTGTTTCCCTTAAAAATATTTTCAAAATGCAAAAATTTGTTTAAGCATGGATCTTTAAACATGAATTTATGCATCAAATGCCATTAAAATCTGTGCTCCAATAGACAAAATTCACTCGAAAATTTGATTCTTCAAATATGTAATTGAGTGCTATAAATGAAAATTATATTATGTTGTTTCCATCTTTGATTTTAGTTCATAATAGACTGGTAGCCAATTTACAGATTTACAACAAGTACCCTGTGCAGTTGGAGGTTCCTTCAAGAAACGTTTTACTTTGTTAAATACCTGCCAGAAGCTGGTGAAGGAGACCAGAAGTCTATCTTTAATCAGTTTGAGTTATTTATTCCTAAGTGAATCTTTTTAAATGCATAGCTCCTAAGTCTACAATCCAACAATGGTATTCTTACGTGTATTTTTAAGATTTAGATTTTTAAAAAATTAATGTGTTTGGATGGGCCATGACACACCTCCATGGCCAAGGGATCCGGAAGTGGGACTTGAACCTGGACCATCTGGTCGAAGGACAGTACCACTACGACACAGGACTCATTATTGTTTCTTTATACTTTTGATAAATTGTTTGGACATGATATAACATAACTTCATGGTCATCATGTCATGTGCTAAAGAAGTCATCTAATTACTGTCCTCCACCTGCATATCTTAACCTTATTTCTAAAATACACTGTTCATTGTATAAATTATCTTTGATCCATTATGCTATAGTTGCACTTCCACAAACAATATATTTTTTTCCTGTATTCATAATCTGACAAATTTTTTTGAGCAGATTAAGGTTCTTATTAGTCAGAATCTACATTCATATATTCACATCTAATGCAACATATTCTTTTCAAGAGATAATTACTGATGTGCAGCAAATGACGGTTAGCCTCTGAACTGATATCCTCTGAATGAATGTTTAAATAAAACAAAAAAAAAAGTTGTGATTTAACAATGAATTCCAAAAATCACAATATCCATTGGCCAGAAGGCGGAGGAGCAGAAGAGTTAGCCAATCAGCCTAACAGCTGATTTGATAATCCTCAACTCACCTTCCTGCCTTTTCCCCACTAATTAAAAAATCTATCTCAGCCATGAATATTCTTAAAGATCCAGCATCAACAACTTTTTGTGGTAAAGAATTACATAGATTTACTACCCTTTGATAGAAGAAATTTCTACTCATCTCTATTCTAAATGGGTGACACTTTACTCAGATATGCCCTCTGGTCCTAGACTTTCCCAGATATAACAATCTCTCCACATCTACTGTGTGAAGCCCTCTAAAAATCCTTCATGTTTAAATAAGGTCGCCTCTCGTACTTGTAAACTCCAATGAGTACAGGCCCAACCTACTGTACACCGCTTCATAAGACAATCTTACTCTACTAGTATCATCCTAGTGACTTTTCTAAGGATTCCCTCCAATTGTAGTACATCCTTCATTAGCTAAGGGGAAAGATGAATGTCAAGAGTGGGATTTGAATCCATACCTCAAGAAATGGATTAGAATTCACTAAGCTTCAGCAAGGCATGGAACAACACCTTTTGAACCTGATACCTTAGACCTTTGCCATCCTGACAACAACAATAGTATTTCCAGTGTTTGCATTCATACATATCATTAATATAATAATTTTTTAAAATTGCTAAGGAGAATTGCAAAGCAGAATTTGACATTAAGGAAATTTGGGGAAGATGACCAAAATCTTGGTTAAAGAGGCAGGTTATGAGAAATGGCTTAAAGAAGAATAGAGAGGTATACGGTTGGAGAGGCTTAAGGAGGGAATGCCAGAGTTTAGAGCCAAGGAAGCTGACAGGACTGATGAGCTGAAAAGGAATGGAGTCAGGAAATATTATACAGGTGGACAAAGCTGATTTTTTTTGTATATTTTCTAATCAACCTGTTCAGAAATGTTACAACATACCTCTGGAGCAGGTGGGACTTGAACATGGGCCTCGTGGATCAGAGGCAGGGACAGTACCACTGCACAAGAGCCCCACAAAGCTAATTGGAAGTTCAATGTCAAATAAGGGAGTTATTTATCATTCTGAATTCATCATTAACATTCTGGGAATCCAAATTGACCACAAATGGAAATCAGAGGCCAGAAACCACATGGAAAGTAACTCACTTCCCAGCTCCAGCAAGTTACGAATCAGGAATGTAATGGAATGCTCTCCATTTGCCTACAGTGGTGTGGCTCCAACAACACTCAAGATGCTCAACAATATGGAATGCAAAGCAACCAGGCTCATCTGGTGGGTGTGGTGCCAGACAAACATCCAACCATCTTCTAACCTCTACTCTTCATCACTTACAAGGTGCTCAACATAAACTTACTAAGGTTCCTTCAACAGCATGTTCCATTACCACCCAGAGCAAAAAAAAAAGTAGAAAATACATGGAAGACCATCAGCTACACATCCATCTCAGGGTCACATTTCATCCTGGCTTGGAACTTCTTTGCCATTGCTTTAAGGAAAGATTGTGCAGCTGGAGTAATGTCACTGGACTAGCAACTTAGAAGCCCAGGCTAATGCTCTGGGGATTATGGACTCAAACTGATCACAACATTATCAATGAATAGAACCTGGAGTTGAAAGTTAGTGCCATAATGGTGACCATAAAACCATTGATTATTATGAAAACATGACTGGTTCATTAATCTCCTTTAAGGAAGGAAATCTGCTGTCTTTACCTGGTATAGCTTATGTGTAAATCCAGACCCACAGCAGTGTGACTGACTCTTAACTGTCCTTGAAATGCAAGCCACTCAGTTCAAGGGCAATTAGGGATGGAGAACAAATATAGGCTGTGCCAATAACATCTACATACCATGAAAGTATTAGGATGTAACTTCAATTACATGTCTTGCAGAGGTTCAAGCAGATGGTTCACCACCACCCTCTCAATAATTAAGGTTGGACAATAAGTGCTACCCTTGCCAATGACACTCCAAAGAATGAACAAAATATGCCTTTAGCATTTTGTTTTTACTGCATTATTTACAAGCTAGATTAATTGATCAAAACAAAAACAACTCCAAAATTCTTCTAGCTCCTGTCAATAAGTACCTTGAATAATCTCTTGAAATCATTTTCTTACATGGCATAGCTGAGAAGTAGTAGGTAAAACATGTCGTCACAAAATTTCTCAGATGACAATTCATTTAATTATACTGGGATCAGGGTGAAGTGTGTGCTCTATGAATGACAGCTTGCACTGTCATTGGGAACTCATCTCAATGAGTTGGCAAGCAGGCATAAGTTCCATATCTCATGTCTTCTTGTCCCACATCCTTGGAAACTCTACTTTTCTTATGCCCAGTGGATGGAGGTTAGGGAGATTAATATTGCAAAGGTCTTATCTCATGACTTCAGTCTGTTTGGTTGCGAGAAAGATGCTTGATCTGAAATTCACTTTCTAATTTGTATATGTTTGACAGTCATATGGTATTACAGAGTAGTACAGTGGAGATCACTTAGGCGTAGACCAGTATTGCACCAACAACTTAGCCTACATGCTGCTACAATAAATGACAGGTCCCAATAAGAAGTAGAATCAGAAACTTTGACTTAATGAATCCACTATCTCCTGCTTCTCACCACTTTCGCATCATTGATGAGACACAAGTTTTACCCGTTACAAGACCTGAAGGAATCAGCTGTTTTCTTATCCTTAATTCCAGGACCATGTATTCTCAAGTCAACTAAATTTAGGGACATTAGATACTGAAGTTTATGAGAAAATCTCTGGTTTAGAAAAACAATAGGGCCACTGACAGTCAATGTTAACAATGTGGGACGAAAACAGAAATTGTTGGAAAAGCTCAGGAGGTCTGTTAGCATCTACGGAGAGAAATCAGAGATAATGTTTTGGGTTGGCACTCAGTCATTTTTGCTCTTGGAGTAAGAACGGGAGAACATTTTGGTTGCTTTCTTCATTACTGAGCGGCCCTCTTCACAATGTTCTGAGGAAGGGTCACTCGACTGAAACATCAACTCCCGATTTCTCTTCAGATGCTGCCAGATCTGTTGAGCTTTTTCCAGCAATTTCTGTTTGTTTCTGATTTACAGCATCTGCAGTTCTTTCAGTTTTTAAATTGAATTATGTGGGAGATATACTTCTTCCACATTCACAGATTTTCAATTAGTTTAGGTCTAGAATACAATTCCAGTTGAAATTGCATCTTCAATCAATTATGCGAAAGATTAATTCACAAAAGTAGTAACGCTGAAAACAGCCAATGGCCTATCTTTTTGTTTCAATCTATATCTGTTTGACCATGTATTAGGAATAGAAGTTCACACTGAATACAGTAACAAGCATATCTGTGATGTGGACAGTCAAAGGAATTGGTCAGCTTAGACTAACTTTGCTACATTGAAGATCTTCAATAGAATAAATATTCTATAGGACAGTCAGCATTGTCACTTTGATACCTCGACAAATTGTTGTCATCCAAATCATACAGAAATCAATATTTTCCATTCCATTTTGTTCTGCATTTCCTATTGAACTATAACTCTTCTTATTATTCCAAAACTAGCAGAATCTTTTACCTGAATCATCTGCTTTGGATCATCTGGGAATGGCAAAGGGATATTTCTCCATATCATACTACCATCTTCCGTAAACTTAATTTTACGTTGATCCCTAGGTGGGAGGCAAAAAAAAAAAGGTCAATGACTGTACAATGTGGACCGATATTGGAGCAATGCATTGCTTCGTTCTAGCTCCACAACTCCACTGGTCACAAAGTTTAATTACCATTACAATCAATTATGCTTAGCCCCTTTCTGTAGATTACCACCTTGCTGAGATGGAGAGGCTGAGTGTTCCATTGATTCTGAAAGTAATGTCAGGAGTTCTCAACTCCTGACTGGGGCACTCACAACAATAAGGTTGGAGGGGAGGAACCAGATAAAGTGCAATCCAAAGCACTAAATAACAATCCAGGTGGAGGATATTCTTGTGAGCAGCTGCAATGGTGAATGAAGGCTGCAGCAGTAGGGGTATCTCCAGTCAAGGTTTCCTTGCCACTGGAACTGGATCTACCTTCTGTCAATGACTGCATGTCTGCTTAAGTGTAACAGCATTCCCACATTAAAAGATGCCCTGCCCAATGTGTCTACCTAGAGGAATTCAAACCCCCAACTCAATAAACAGCAATTGGCAAGCGGTAACGAGGACAGGATTGTGAAACCTTGAAGTCCCTAGTTTTGAACTGGCACGCAGTCATTTTTGCTCTTGGAGTAAGAGCAGGAGAACATTTTGGTTGCTTTCTTCATTACTGAACAGCCCTCTTCACATTCCATTCACCCTCCAAGGTGCAGGGAGAGAAAAGCCACCCAAAAAAATTGTCTGTTCTGTGGAAAACCACATCCAGTGGGCTTATCTACCTACAGTCTGAAAACCAAAGTCAAACTCAGTCTCAGAACCTGGAATGTACGAATACTCATGGGTAATAAGCAAAACAATTGTGTCATGAACTCAAACACTTTGACTTTGATATCACTGCCCAGCAGCAGACTTGAAGAGTAGGCAAGGGCAGTTGAGGGAAGAAGGTGGTGGTTACACTGGAGAGGAAAATCCAAAGATCAACCCAGGACACATGGAATTGCATTTGCTAAACAGAACAATTTCAAACAACTCTAAAGCTCCTTGTTGACATCAACTATCAGCTCATGACTTTCCATCTACAATTTGCCAAGAACCAGCAGGTAAAGGTCGTGACTGATTATGTTCCAACCCTTGTTGCCATAGACAAGTCCAAAGGAGGACTCTACTGCGCCTTGGACATCATAGTCACCAATATTCATAAGGAAGGTAAAGTCCTCATCCTTTGGGACTCTAATACCAGGGTTGGAAAGGATGTCCAACTCTGGAAAGGAACCATCACAGAAGGAAGGATCAGGAATTGCAACTTCAATTGCAACAGGATTCTCCAAATGTGCAGAATACAAGCTGGTCACCACTAACATACTGTTCAGCCAAAATAGGCAAGTTCAAGACTTCTTGGAGGTATCCACGATCAAAGCAGTGATACATGGTCAACTATGTAATTGTTCAATCCTGGGATCAGTATGCAGATCATAATGTCATCTCTGCTCTCCCTGAAGAGAAGCCTCGCTCAATCCCTTTGAGGAAGTATACTGAAGAATTTGACTCAGCCTCAACCTGAAGAATCAAATCCTTTACAAACCTGTCCCAGGTCAAGTTCCAGTCCAACCCTTCATTAAGATCAACAGAAAATCCTCCCAAAATTTGAATATTTCCCTTACCTGGAAAACTACCTTTCATCTCAGGTGACATCAATGCAGAGAGTCAATGTTGTATCAAACCCACAAGCACTGCCTATGGACGCTTAAGGTTGAGAGTCATCAATGACTGTAACATCCATGCTGATACTAAGATCCTTGTGTACAATGCAGTCATCATTCCGATGCTTCTATATGGTTCTGAAATTTGGACTACACACAGATGCCACCTCAAGACCCTTGAGAAGTATTATCAATGCATTAGCTAGGAGGGCAGGTGTATTAATACCAGTATCATTCAAGCAGCTAACAGCACCAGCATCAATGACATGACATCCAAAACCAAATCTGCTGGGCCAGCCACATGCTTAGCATGCCTAAGTTTTGTCTGCCAAAGCAAAGTCCATCATGCAAGCCAACCTTGCATTCACTGACTCCATCTATACTTCACACTGCCTTGGGAAGGCAGCCAATATAATCAAAGACCTCTCCCACTCCGGTTATAATCTCTTCTAACCTCTTCTGTAAGGCAGAGGATACAAAAGCTCAAACACATGTACCAACAGATTCAAGAACAGCTTCTTCCCTGCTGTTATTAGACTGCTGAATGGACCGCTTTAAAAATTTAACTTTAGTGTTGAACTCACACTTTGTATTCCTTGCTCTGTTCAATTACCCTTAAGCATTTCGTATGGTAAAATCTGCCTGTACTGCATGCAAAACAAAAAATAAAATTACTGTACTAGGTACATGTAATAATAATAATAATAATAATAATAATAATAATAAAGCATATCAAATCAGAACTTCTTCTTCCAGCTGAAGGAAGGCTCTTGAATAAGAGGAAGACAAAGGAAGCGTTGAGGATTCCCTGAAGGCTTCCCTCAAGAAATGCAACATAGATGTCAATGCATGGGAGGGAGACCTCATTCAGAAGAAACCAACTTGGAAGAAACTCCAGTATGAAGGGGCATAATTTTTTTGAGAACATCCACCAGCAGGAGGAAGTACAGAAAAGGAACCGGAGAAAGGATTGCCAATGGTCTCAAATTCCACCTCCTGGAAACACCTGCCAACTGTTGAATCAGAAGTGTGGCTCTCAGATCAGGCTCATCAGCTACACAAGATCCCACATGAGAATTTCCTACGTGGATAACCACACTGGTTAGCAATTGATTGCCAATGACAATATTTAGCTATACTAAGTTTAGAATAAAAAGATCCAGCAGCCAGGTTGTGTAAAAAAACAAAATAATCCAATTATTACAATCAAGACTTATTCTACAAAGGTGTAAGGCTAATTAACACAGTTTGAAATATAAAAGTATAAATATCTACATTTCTAAACACTCTCACATACACTCACACACAAAACCTCTTAACAAAAGCCGCTGTTCTAGGATTTCAAAATGTAGTTGGCTCAGTAAACAAAGAGAACAACTCTTTCAGAGGCTTGTTAGGAGAACAGCTGAAACAGTGCTTTAGCTCTCGCACTGGATCATCAGCAGAATTGTATTCAGTCAGCAGCTACAATTTCAGAGATTTTTCAAGGGGGTAGGAAAAGGTTAATTGAATATCTTCTCTCTCTCTCTCTCTCTCTAGGATATAATCCGAACTGAGATCCAATCTATACCCAAACAAAAATTGAAACTCTTGACAGCCATGAGTTGAGGCATGAAATTTTTGGTAAACAAGACCAGCAGTTAGCTTAGGACACATGACTATCAAATCCAGCAGATACCTGTTGTTATCTTCGAGCCTTTCAAATGAATCGGAAAAGGTTTTCACAACCTTTAGTCGAAAGCCTTATAAATGAATCTACATAACAAAAGAACCTCAATAGCAGAATATATTTTCTGTCAAGTTCATGAGCTAACCCAATTTTTTGATTTGCTATCAATTCTACAATAGTGGAAGAAATATTTAGACTTTTTAACAAGACCTTTCACTTTTATGCACTTAGTTCAGATCAGCAATTGCACCAGCCTCACTCACCTTAAATGTACAGTAACCCATGAAAAGAAAACTTAATTGTTCCCATGTAAAAGCAGCAGACATGCATAGTATGAAATACCACAAAATTACATCAACTTACTTGTGAAGATCAGGAAAGCCCTTTGTTCCTCCTTTCTGAAGAATGTTATAATGACTTCCGCTGATGCAGACTAAGCACTTTGGCTAAGGGAAAAAAATCAAGATCATTTTTAAAAAGTGAATAAATTAACTGCAGTAGATAAGTGGAAAAAACTTAGCATTAGTGGTAAAAATAAATTGATGGATAAAGCTAGGTAACAGAATATCAATGTTTTGCAAATAATCCATCACAAAGATCAAAACACTAATTGTATATGACAAAAAAAAACACGACTGGGAAACTCACTCTTAGATTGTCCACCAGAGGTTTAGTTATTTACTGCACAAGGGCAAGACTTGCTGAATACATCTTCACTACAAAGCATGGGTTCCCAAGCTGGTTTGAAGCTGCAAGTAATTAAGCAGTGATGGTACATTTATGGGTAATCAATTTTCCTTTTGACTCATTACTGTAATTTTTCTTTCAAGCTTCCTTTAGCAATCTGATGTTACAAAAAAATAAACTTCAGTTGCTCTGTAGATACTGAATTGTTAGAGCACACACAATCAGTAAATCCAAACCCAGTTGAAATCTCAAATTGTTTTTTTTTTAATTTGGCTAATTCCTCACCTGCCCTCTGAGCGTCAACTACACTGGAGTCACACTAGGATGATATACTTCCTTCCCTAAAGAGCATTAGTGAACCAGATGCGTTTTTACGAAAAAAAAATAGGCAAAAGGTTACACAGTCGCCATTAGACAAGCTTTATATTCCACTTTTTTTTTCTAATTGATTTTAAATTTCACGTTCTGTCATGACACAATTTGAATCCATGGCCTTAGAACATTAATCTGCTGTTTTGGATTACTAGTCTCGTGACGTTACCACAATGCCACTGCCTCTCCAAGATAAATGAGGCAGATATAGTATGGTATTCTTTTACTTAGCCACCTTTATGTAACAAGCGCCATATTCTTCAATTAAATATGTTTCACAGCTGGTCAACTTACATGAATATTTGGGACCTCTGTTGCCATCAGGAGTGCCAGTGTAAATCCAAGTGAGAGTCCCAAAATGGCAACACTGCCTTTTGAGACCTTTGCATGGTTATTCAGGGTTTTGAAGGCCTCCTGTGAATCAGTAATACAATGCCATATGATCTTTGAGATTTAACAGAAACATTGATATGAATCTGGCAATACAAACGCCAAACATTTGAATTGTCTTTGCTGCAATGGTAGTGGATCTTTAGCATTCCCAAACGTCTGCTGGCCTTTGGCCGAGCCTCATTTGGTCCCTTTTCCTGGGACAGGGTCACTTATAGATATTTTCTAATGAAACTGTCCAGAGATATTATTACACACCTCTGGAGCAGGTGGGTCTTGAAATCAGGCCTAGCTCAGAGGCAGGGACACTACCACTGCAATACAACAGCACTTTCAGAGTTATTTACATAGTGAATGCAGGCACTTGAGCATTTTACAGCACCACTGGAATGCCTGCCTAGAGCATGCAAAGAAAGGGAAGTACCTTCCTGGTATTTTCTTTTTACAAAAAAACTTTTAGAATTTGACAATTACTTAACATAGATGTTTGAAGAGCAAATTGATCAAGTATTTATCATCCATCCACACACTTCCAAATCTGATACGTCACAAATAACAGGAAACACAAATACAACACTGTCATTAACTATCTGTTTGATTGGAACACAAATATGTTGGCATATATGTTTCCTCTAATAGATAAGATCTAAAATTAGACAATTCCTTGCTTTCCCAACTTTAGGCATAACCAGAGAGGAAATTCAAGGTAAAAAAGTCCCAAACTCAAGAACAGTGAACATACGTTAGATGTAGCATAAGAAATCATCTAGAACTGTTAACATTACAAACTGAACAAATCCAAATTCTAGATATCAAGAATTATTTGCTGCTCCCTTATAATATTAATATGCCCACAAACACACACAAATCACACAGGTAGCTGCATGCGGTCAAAATGGGACAGTGAATATACATTGTGCTGCTTTCTGTACAGGTATGCCCATTTCAAGTGCATTTTCATGTTGCTTTCATTTTCATGCAGTTTTAAAGTTTACATGATGGCGAGGCTTCCGTTTTCACTTTAGCAGTTATTGTGCGCACTCAGTCTTTGAAAGCAAGCCAATATTTTGCCAAGTCCCCACCTGCTCACCACCCCTCCTGTTTACCGCACTGTCCTGAACCTCCCATTTGCCAGCACTAATGTGATCCTGCCACTAGTCATTGATCTTTTCCAAACCTCACTATCTCACCACTGTGCTTGCCAACCCTCCTCCTGAACCTTTCTTATGAACAAGGGTGAAGGAGAGAGATGGAAAGGAGGAGGAAGCAAATCAAGTGACACGAAACTGCATGGTCCGGTGACAGAGAAGAGGTGTCGGGGGAAGGAGCGAGGGTTGGAAAACAGAGGATGGGTTGGGAAAGTTTTAAGAACTACAGATCATCACATTGCGCATTCCCATTTATTCTTCAATTACAATGACTCAGTTACTTAAGTTATTAATCTCACTCAATCTATACCCAGGCAAAGAAGTGACAAAGATAGTTGCAGTCTATTACCATCAAAACAGAAGAGAAAAGTCTTCTTTTGGACTTTAATGAAATATATTCCAAAGCAACTGAAACTAACAGACAAGAACATGAGCAAAGTCTGATCCATAACAGCACCCACTGAAAGGGGTTCACTTGGTGTGGACATGGCAGTCTGAGCCAGCATTTACTGCCCATCCCCAGATCCCCCTGAGAAGTTGGTGGTACTACAGCAATTATTTGATATAGGTCAACACAATGTCATTAGGGAAGAAGTTCCAGGATCTTGACCCAGCAACACTGAAGGAATGCCAATATATTTCCAAATCTGGAGGGTAAGTGGCTTAGAGGGGAATTTCTAAGTGATGGTGTTCTCATGTATCTGGTGGTCTTGTGATCACAGTTTGGAAGGTTATCTATTCAGCCTTGGTGAATTTCTGCAGTGGATCCTGTAGACATTACACACTACTGCTTCTGAATATCAGTGATGGAGGGAGTGAAAGCTTGTTGATGTTATGCCATCAAACTGGTTGCTTTGCCCTGGATGGTGTTAAATTTCATTAATGTTGTTGGCCCTGCACTCATCCAGGCAAGTCAGGTGTATGTCATCACAGGCCTGACTTGTGTCTTGTAGATGGTGGAGAGGCTTTGGGTGGTCAGGAGGTGAGTTACTTGCAGCAGAATACCTAACCTCAGACTTGCTCTTGTATGGTTAATGCAGTTTAGTGTCGGTTCAATGATAATCTCTAGGATGTTGATTGTGGACAATTCAACAATGGTAATAGCACTCAATGTCAAGGAACGATGGTTAGATTCTTCCTTGTTGGATGCTGTCATAGCATGGCACTAGTGTGGCATGAATGTTACTTGCCCTTGCCAGCCAAAGCCTCAAACAGGATCTTGCTGCATTTGGACATGAACTGTTTCAGTATCTGAGAAGTTGCTAATGGTGATGAACATTGTTCACTAATGATTGCACAATCCCAATCCAAATTTATGATGAAGGGAATGTCATTGATTAAGCAGTTGAACATGCCTGGAGCCAAGATGATTCATGGTAGACAACAGAGGCCCAAAACATTCCACGGCCTAGAAGAGTAAAGAAAGTACAGGGACTAGCTTAAAATCAACAGATTTAGGAGAATTGAGAGGGGATGTGAAGACGACACTGGAGTGTAACATTAAAAGAATATCCAAAAGGCATTTTACAGATATATTAGGGGCAACAGAACAACCACAAAAAGAGTAGGGCCCATTAGGAACCAAAGTGGCAGTGTGTGTGTGGAGTTGGAAGACACACTTGCGTTTTTAAGTAAGCACTTTCCAACTATATTCACCATGGTAGTGATTGCTGACACCACAACTGCGGATCAACTGCACCTACATGTTTAATTGGAAACGCACAAGTGCATGGTTCCAGACCCTCTATGCTGCTGCATCATGCATGAAGTGCACACTGTACACATGCACAGAATTGGTGCAACATTGATACAGGGTTTGGCAGCAGAAAAGACTTCCAGGATCTGTCCAGGGCTGGGGGTGCAGAATCGGACAGGAGGGTGGGGAAAGACTGGATTTGGGCAGCAAGGGTTTCTCCTGTTCATCTCCATGACAACATCCGCTCCAACCATTATCTCAACTCCTCCAGGGACCAATGCTGCCACCCCTCCTGGTTCCCAATCTCCATGCAGCCCACCCCTGCCCCAAATTCTCTTGTATGCACAAGCACCTCCCTACAGCACACTGCCCATGCTCTTCATTGGCTGCATTTGCTGACAATCACTATAGAGAGAAAGGTGAGATAACAAGGTGTAGAGCTGGATGAACACAGCAGGCCAACCAGCATCAGAGGTGCAGAAAGGCTGACCTTTTGGGCCTAGACCCTTCTTCAGAAACCCTTCTTCATTTCTGAAGAAGGGTCTAGGCCCAAAACGTCAGCCTTCCTGCTCCTCTGATGCTGCTTGGCCTGCTGTGTTCATCCAGCTCTACACCTTGTTATCACAATTCCTGCTATCTCAGAGAGAAAAGTGATGTTGGTTTATAAATCAGAAAGGGGGTTACTTGAACAAATTAGAATTGAGAGGGAGGAGATATTAACAATTTTCGCAGGTTGGAAGTGAATAAATCCCCAGGCCCAGATGAAATATACCCAAGGCTGCTCCTGCAGGCAAGGGCTCAACCATTAATTTTCAAACCCTCTCTGGCCACAGAAGGGGTGCCAAAGGACTAAAGGATGGCTAATGAGGTGTTATTATTCAAGAACGGTGTTCAGGATAACCCAGGAAATTACAGGTGAGGGAGTATAATATTTGTGATAGGGAAACCATTGGAAATAATTCTGAGGGACAGAATTAATTTCTACTGGGCAAGGAGAGGATTAATCAAAGATAGTCAGTGTGACTTTGCAAAATGGAGATCACATCTAAAAATTGATCGAGTTGTTCGAGGTGGTGACTCGGTGCATGAATGAGGTTAGTGCATTAATCTGGTATACATGGACTTTAGTGAGGCCTTTGACAAGGCCGTGCATGGCAGCCCGATTAAGAAACTAAGAGCCCATGGGACCCAAGGTAATTTGGCAAATTGAATGCAAGATTGGGTTAGTGGCAGGAAGCAGAGGGCGATGGCTGAAGAGTATGTGTGTGTCTGGAAGCTTGCGTCCAGTGGCATGCCACAGGTGTCAATGCTGGGTCTCTTGTTATTTGTGCACATTAATGATCTACACAATAATAAAAAGAAGTATAATCAGTAAGTTCGCAAATGAAATGAAAATTGGTGGTGTGATAAACGGTGAAGGGGAAAAGCCTTGGACTACAGGTTGATATAGGTGGGCTGGTCAGATGGGCCAAATGGTGACAAATAAAATTTAATCCTGAAAACTGACAGATGATGTATTTGGGGAAATTTTTCAAAGCTGTACACATTGAATTGTAGGATCTTAGGAAGTACAGAGGATTACAGGGACCTGGGTGCGCATGTTCATAAACCATCGAAGGCAGCAGATAAGGTAGATAATATGGTAAGAAGGTATATGAGATACTTGCCTTTATTAGACAAAGCTTTGACACCAACTGCAAGGAGGTTATGCTGGAGCTGTATATCATGTTAGTTATGCCACTACTTGAAGTACTTTGAGAAGTTCTGGTGCCACACCATAGGAAGGATGTGATTGTGTTAGAGAGAGAGCAGAAGAGATTCACCAGGATGTTGCTGGACTAATTCAACTGTGACGAGAACCTAGATAGACTGGGTTGTTTTCCTTAGAGCAGAGAACAATGAGTGGGGAAGTGTATAAAATTTTGAGGAGACACAGACATAGTGGATATGGAGAAACCTTTCCCCTTAGAGAGAGAGGTCAATAACCAGATAGTACAGTTTTAAGACAAGAAGCATGAGGTTTAAAAGGGATTTGTGGAAAATCTTTCACCCAGAGGGTTGTGGATATCTGTAACTCACTGCCTGAAAAATTGGTAGAGGCAGGAACTCCCAAGACATTTAAGAAATATTTAAAGAGCGCTTGAAGTGTGTTGCGTGGAAGGCTAAGGGCCAACGCTGGAAAACAGGATTAGAATAGACGGATGTTTGATGAACAACATAGACACAACAGGCTGTATGGCCTTTTTCCCTGCTTTAAAAACTCTATGAACATTGCACTGCAAAAATTCAAAGGCAATTTATACAGCAACTTCCAAACCCACAACACCCCTTCCACCTAGAAGAAGAGCAGCAGATCCACAGGAACATAACCACTTGCAACCACTCAAGAATTCAGTGATCAGTGACGTTATGCATGTGACAATCAAAATTTAACAATACTTTGGTATATTTGTACTTTTGGTATTGGTGTGCTCCTTTCAGTAGTGTACTATAACAAATGTGTCAACTATCACGTTTGTAAATCCAAAGTAGTGAAACATCGCAACTCATGAAAATGTTCATTACCTTGAAGTAAGAGAGCTCTGGGTCAAATGTTTGCAGTGACTGTGGGATGTTCTTATGTCCCAAGTAAGCCAAAGCTAAGGCAGCAAATCCTCGTGATGCAAGAAGCGCTGCACGGTATTCAACAAGACCTCCACCACCACCCCACATATCTAAAACTGCAGGAAATGGTCCAGGTCCTAATTAAGAAAGCAGTTAAAAATAATTCTAAATCAATAAAACCAAAGAACTGCAGATGCTGAAAATTAGAAACAAAAACAGAAATTGGAAAAAAACTTAGCAGGTCTGGCAGCATCTGTGGGGAGAAAGCAGAGTTAATGTGGACTCCAAGAATATTTCTAAACTGCAGATAACAGCTTGCTGTAAATCCATATGACATTGTGCATTACAGATCAATAATATGCATATAGAAGGTCTACATATAGAGCAGCTTTAAATCTTCCCCAAATAGAAGGAATACAGATTTTATATAGCACATTACACAACTGCAGTGCAATCCAAAGCACTTCTGAAGTGCTATAATGTGTGAAATCTGGCATCCAGTTTGGGGTGAATGAATAAATGCTGGGAGCGCAGTGATGAGTATTTTTGTTTAAATTTCATTGTCTTTTTTTAGAAATAAAAACAAATTTCAAGCACCTCTATCATAGCACATTTGATCAAGTAACTTTGTTACTGGACTCTTCAGATATTCTAATTACCTTAGTAATGTTTCCGAGCAGCATTCCCAAAAGTAAAAAGGGTCTTTGCTAATTTGGTCATACCCAGAAATATGTGCACTATATTTCTTTTAACACAACTCGGAGAATATCTTGAATGGAATGTACTCTTCTTTTTAATATCTTCAAAGGTAATTAACCTTATAAATACTATTCTTATACTTTATGATACTCAGCCAATAGCAAAGGTGTAGTTATTTAAACTACTCCACTATTTTCAACAGCAACGAAATAATCTCACCACAGTCTACAGAAATACAATTCTGCTCACTTAATCTACAATCCCCAGTATAATTTGACTATTCCATTTGGTGATCACATTCTGCTGCTTTGAAATATTGCTCTTTCAATACTTTGAAAGGCTTGAGATGGTGGAACTCAGAAATAAGAAGGGGGTGATCACGTTACTGGGATTGTACTGTAGGATCCCCAATCGTAAGGTGGAAATTGAGGAACAAATATGTAGAGAGATCTCAGAAATATGTAAGAATAAACTATTACATAAAATGTAATAGTAGGGGATTTTAACTTTCCAAACGTAGACAGAGATTGCCATAGTGTTAAGGGCTTGAATGGTGAGGAATTGGCTAAATGTATTCAAGAAAATCAATATGTAGATTTACCTACTAGAGAAGGAACAAATCTTGACTTTCTCTTGGTAAATAAGGCACAGCAAATGGCTGAAGTGTCAGTGGGGGAGTACTTTTGGGCAAGTGATCATAATTCTATTAGTTTTAAAATAGCTATGGAAAAGGATAGGCCTTGTATAAAAGTTAAAATTTTTAATTGGAACAAGAGAATTCTGATCATACAAGACGGGAACTTTCAAGAGTAGACTGGAGTAGATAAAGGGATGACAAGCAAGTGCAAGGCTTTCAAAAGTGAGATAATGGGAGTTCAGAGGCCTTATGTTCCTGTTAGAGTGAAGGGTAAGGCTGGTAAGAGTAGGGAACCCTGGATGAAAAGTCATTGAGGCGCTAGTCAAAAATAAGAAGTTATATTAGGTACAGACAACTGGGATCAAGTGAATCTCTTGGACAGGTATAGACAGAGTTGATGGTAGTTGTCTTTTCCCGGAGATGGGGAATCTCAAGACTAGGGGGCACATTTTTAGGGTGAGAGGAGAGAGATTTAAAAAAGTACATGAGGCAAATTGTTAACAGAGGGTGGTTTGCGTGTGGAATCAACTTCCTGCCGAAATGGTGAATGTGGATACAGTTAGTGTTTAAAGGACATTTGGATGGGTACATGAATAGGAAAGGTTTGGAGGGATATGGGCTAGGAGAAGGCAGGTGGGACTAGTTTAGTTTGGGATTATGTTCAACAATGGACTGGTTAGACCGAAGAGTCTGTTTCCGTGCTATATGACCCTATAACTATGATTCTATATTCAAGGCAAAGTTTACCACGGTGTACTAAACACGATAACAGATTTAAGCCAAAGTAACTCTATGCTCTTGAATACAGAACTTCCTCTCAAATCAATATTAGTGTTGTTTCTCGCAGCTCATGACCCCACTATATTTTTCCCAATAATTTAGGAGCTTTCCAGTGCTCCGTTCCCTCTTTAACAATATGCATTGATATACAACCTTTAAACATCCCAAAGAAATTTACAGGAGCATTATCAAACAAAATTTGATGCAGAAACAAAGGACAAATTGCTTAAAGAAGTAGTTTTTAAGAGACAGCATAAAGGAAGAAACAAGTAGAAGGCCACAGAAGTTTATGGAAAGAATATCAGGGTTTGTATCATGGTAGCTGAAAGCATTAGTGCCAATGGTACAGCAATTAATTAGGATGCACAAGAGAGCATACTTAGAGCAGTGCAGATACTGTTGGAAGATCGCAGAGCTGCAGGATAGTAAAGGAAAACAGGAGGGACCACAGAGAGATTTGAAAACAAATAAGAAGTTTAAAACTGAAATACTTCTTAACCTGCAGTCAAATCAGCAAACACAAGGATGCTTGTTCAATGGGGCTTGATAGGAGTTGGGACATAGGTAAGAGTTGTGGTTTATGGAGGGTTGAAGATGGGACACTAGCCAGCACTGCTTTGCAATACTCAAGACTAAAGGTAACAAAGACTGAGGTTTCTGCCACAGATGACCTGAGGCAAGACTAGAGTCAGGCAATACTGTAGGGTATGGACAGAGATGGATACAGTGATGCTGCAGATATATGAATGGAAGGATTTACAATTGAACGCTATTCTCAAGAACACCAGTAATAGCAACTGGAGTAGACCTTAAGGCCTGTCAATCCTCCTCTGCCATTCGGTGCAATCATGGCTAATCTCAGGGTGGAGTCTCACTTGCCTACTTGCTCCCTTGATTACTGAGAACAAAATCCAAGCATCCCAACCTTGCAATGCATGTATTCAACAATGGAGCTCTCCAGGACAGAAGATACTAAAGATTCACAAACATTTCAGTGAAAAAAAATTCTCGAGTCCTAAACCATTTTATCATGAGATCTTACTCACATTTTAGATTCTCCAATCAATAAGAACAATCTCTCAGCATCTCCAGTATGAAACCACTTTAAAATTTGCGCCTGAGATCACCTCTCATTCTTCTAAAGTCCAGAGAATATATGCTCAAATTTATTCAATGAGTCACCCCAAGGAGTAATTTAAATGAACATTCACTATACTGCCTCCAAAACAAAATATCCTTTTTAATATGTGAACATCACACATGTGCCTAAGTATTCCAGGTGTGATTTCACCAAGGCTCTGTACAACTATAGCATGATGTCTTCATTCATGTACTCCATTCTTCTTTTAATAAAGGCCAACACACCATATTGCTTGATTTGCCTGCATACTAACATTTTGCATTCCTTCTAAAGACAAACTCAAGTCCTTATGAACATCAATATTTACAAGCTTCACATCTTTCAAAAATATTCCTCTTTTCTTTTAGAAATACTCCTGGATTGGAGGAGGTAGCAAGCGAAGGAAATCTGTTTTCCTGAATTTGCTAAGGGTGCATTTATGAAATGCTGCTATCTTGAAACATTTGATAATAAAATAACATATTCTTTTATTAAGTATTTCAATAGTTAAAGTTATGCCAATTTCTTTTATTACTATTTTAACAATGGTGCAAGAATAAAGAATGTTTTGCATAAAGCCTCGCAGTTGACCAATCAAACCTCATTTGGATCACAGCACCTCACACATGCCTTTAAGTAAAAGTTAGGGTCTAGGCTATCTTGATATATTTTGGACAGGTTTGGTCTGGTCCATGACATTTGGAAGTCTATCATACCTTCCCAAATGCTTTCTTCCTTTGATAATCCAACCAAAAACTTTTAAAAGCTCAAACTTGGCACATCCAATCATTTCATTCTGACTTACTTTGCATTTATTCTTTTTAACCTCAAGGTACTGGTCTTTTTACCTCAGTTGTTCGATCTTTTCATTTGGTTTATGCAAATATTTCAGGTATTTTAACACAACGGGGATCCAATAAGATCACTAAAAAGGATTATCAACATATTTCAAAGTGGGCTACTTCCATCAGCACTGCCGCCATTGCATCCTCAAAATCCACTTCTGCTGACAGGACCACAACAAAATCATTGAATCCCAGAGACTGCCAACATCACCAAGCAATTGAGGTCATCTTCCTACTAAGCCAATAGTATTGTGCAGGTCACGTTGCCTAGATAGACAACAATCACCAGGCCGACAACATGTTGTCTGGGGAGCTATCCACTGGCAAACTGAAACATGCAAATATTTCAAGTACTAGCTGAAGAAGCTCTTCTGTATGCTACATCAACGATTGACAATGGAAAGTTCAGGCTGTAGATCGTGATGCCTGAAGACACTACACTATACTGAGGAAAAAACCATCATGAAAGAGAAAAGAAGAAAGCTAATTTTACTGAGTAGTGACTACACCTTCACTTGTGCCCACTGTGGAAGAATCCGCCAGTCACGGATAGGCCTGATTAGCAACCAGCAGGTCTGCAACTGATACTTTCCTAAATTATTTGTCTAAGATGAAACACCCAGAGGGAGAATTTTGATATGTACGTTAATGATACCAGTACAATCTCTTGACTCTTCCACTATTGCTAAAATTATCAGGTTGCTTGTCTGACACCGGTCCTGGATGAGCAGAAACGTTTCCTTTTAAACAATGGGAAGGCTGAAGCCGTGGTTTTTGGTTCCAGCTCCAGGCTCTACTTCCTTCCTACAGACTCCATCCCACTTCCTGGTAATAATCTGTAATTAAGCCTGTCTGACTAGTATCACATTTGATCCCGGGAGGACTTTCTGCCTTCCTTTTGTAAGAAGAAAATCACTAAAACTGGCTACATCCACCTACTTACTTTACCTGATGTCTTTGTTATCTTGAGAGTTGGCTATACCAATACAGTCCTGGCTGGTTTCTTACAATGAGCATCCTCCCACTACCCTGCAACCCAAAGATTTTCCAAACTCAGCGTCTGGTATTTCACTTCATACCAAGTTCTGCTCCCCGACTTGCACTGGCAGATAAGTCAAGCAAGGTCTTAACTTAAAAATACTCACTTATTTTCCAAGTCCATCCATAGCTGCACTCCTCCCTTTCTTTGTTATCTTCCCCAGCATTGCTACCCTCTGAGATGTCTGTCTGTCCTCCTTAAATTCTGCCCTCATGAACATCGTAAATTTAATCATTCTACCAACAGTGGTCATTCCTTCATTTGCCCATGCCCATAACACTGGATTCCGTTTTTTTTGTTCATTCACAGGATGAGGGTGTCACTGGCTAGGCCAGCATTTATTGACCATCCTTAATTGACCAGAAGGCAGTTATGAGTCAACTACATTGCTGTGGGTCTAGAATCACGAGTAGGCCAGTCAGGTAAGGATGACAGTTTCCTTCCCTAAAGGACATTAGTGAACCAGATGGATTTTTCCAACAGCAATGGATTCACGATTCTCATTAGACTCTTTTAATTCCAGATATTCATTGAATTCAAATTCCATCATCAACTACGGTGGGATTCGAACCCAGATCCCTAGATCATTACCTGGGTCTCTGGATTAACAGTCCAGCAATAATACCACTAGGCCATTGTCTCCCTCATACCTCTTCGTCTAGCTTCCTTTCTTAAAGACATTTCTTAAAATTTATATCTCTGACAATCTTTTAGTCATTTGACTTAAAACTTTCATATGGCTCAGTATCATACTTTGCAAGTTATGTCCATTAATCACCAGATATGGATAACCACTGAGAAAAGATTGAAGTAAAAGTATCCAATGCATGCTGGATACAAACAAAGATAAATCATGAAACATTGCCATTTTGTAACAGTTTCCATTACCTGGTGGAAAGAATATTGTCCCAAAAACAGGACCCTCTTTGAGCTCTAACCGAGTAATGCCTGGTGCCATGTAAGAACGTTCTAATACAACTGATGCCAATACTGCCTCTTTGTTAAAATTCCCGGAAATCCATCCATCATACATAGAGACGGTTATCAAATATGGAACTGTCACATCCTTCTTCCTCAGCCTGAAAGGTAAATTGAATATGTTGCAATTATAACTTGCAGCTACAAGTCAAAATAAAAAATGTGATGCCATATAGTTTCCTGTTTAAAACAATACATCCCTTGACTGTCTTCAAGTGATTTTTAGATTTTTTTTAATCAATCAATCTGTTCAGAGATGTTATAACACAACTCTGGAGCAGGTGGGACTTGAATGAAGACCTCCTGGATCAGAGGTAGGGACACTACCACTGCACCATCGGACCTGATGTGATCAAGGTTTATTTCATCTGCATAGATATTTTATAATCAAACCCTTCAGGGATGCTACTGCACACCCTTAGAGCAGTGGGACTTGAAAGCAGACCTCCTGGTTCAGAAGTAGAGATTCTACCACTAAGCCAGAGTCTGGTGATTTTTTTTTATTATCCTGGGGTTATTTCTAGAACCCAGGCAGACTCACCAGTCACACAGTCGCCATGCTAATGTTGTAACTAGAAACATGTAGTTTTATACAAACTTTCCATTGCTATCCATTGCTCCTGATAACCTTGATACAAACTATTACACAATTACATTCTGTAATGATCAAATTCACTTGCTTCAACTTGTACAACATTTCTTCACATAATAACACAATGCACACACTACTTCACTATGGGTCATTTTACTTGACTTAAAAGGAAGTTTCTAACTTTGGCCCTGTTATCTCTTTCTCTGCACAAACTATTGATGCTTGACTGCCTGTTCCAAAAGCTCGAATTGATCCTACTTTATTTCAGGCTGTTCACAAACAATATTGCTAATGGACCTGTTGTCTTTCTGATCCCTTCATGCATGGTTTTAGCATCGTGTTGAAAATTCGTCATTCCCTGTGTTGAAATCAATCTGAATATTCTGGCAAAGCTGTAACTGTTAGTCACAGGTGCACCTTCCAGCAGTATGATGAACCTTAGTTCGAGCATCTCTTAGGACATTCAGAATTTTCTTGCTCAGACGTTTCTAGTATTTAATGAGAGCATAATGAATGCAAGGTAATTTTAGATCACCAAGACTAACCAACAAATTGATTCCTACTTATAAATTGACTGAACACAAAGATAACTTTTCAATAATTTAATTTCTTACTGTCTCAGACTCTATTCATCTTGCAGGAACAAAGAATAAAAACACTAAATGTAAAATAGCTGCCACTTCATCTCTGGTTCTTTAAAAAGGAATGTCCAAAAACTACAAACTATGCTAATAAAGAACTTTTATCTCTTGTATCATTACTTAAATCGAACCTAGACCAATGGAATGAAAGTCTCCAATCTGTTGACTGCCCTAAATGAAGAGAGCTTAAGCTGACTCAAACACGTTGAGTGGGGATGGGTCCATAACACGGAATGCATAGCAAGTTCACTTCAGTAAGCCCATATAATGAGTGCTGTGAGAAATCAAAATAGATCATAATAGTCCAGAAGGGGATATTGTAGGGGTTATGATTGAAGTACAATATTTAGGTTTGATAAAGCAAGCTTCAAATTGATTTCCAAGTTTACTAAGAAGTGGTTATGTCCAAATGTACAAAAACAGCATTCATTTTTGTTATATGAGGATTACCAGTGAAAGTGAAAATGAAACGAGGACAACAGAAGAAAGCAGGGAGGGAACACATCTTCTTCAATTTCTAGAAACGATCACAAGTTTTTAAAAGAAAAACAAACAGAAAAATAAGGAGCCCCCATTTTAAAAAAAAAGACAGATCCATGTGGTTTAATGTCGATAGAATATTTAAGAATACCGCATGCCAGGGCGACTGCCGGGTGCAAGCTTCATACTCCATATTAAGCCCATTGGTTCCTGGCCTGTGTAAGTGCCTCCACATGACTTGTCTCTGGCAACTGAACAATGCCATTAGAAGTTATTTATTATAGGTTCCTGATAGCAACACTTCTATCTAGAAGAAAATGTAGATATTTTAACAAAATAACAACATTCCAGTAATAAGACATATACTAAATTTTATAAAACTTTAAAGTTATGTGAATAAGTTTGGAATCAATTTGATAGACAAATTCAATGAAAATCTTCTGTTTCAGTGTAGATTCATTAAAAGGCTCCAATAGGCAAGATATTAGGTTGTGTAATTTGTAGTCCCAACTATTGCCTAACTTCCCCATGCTCTACACTTGCAGCTTATAATATCAATGAATGATATTATGTAGAAAATGTCTGCACAGAATCTGCTGGTAAGAATCAACTAACTGAAGGATGGAAGAGAGAATGCAGATAATTTGTTATTTTCTAAATTCTAATTTCCTAAATTTCCAAGGGGTCTTTTTCTGTTTGGCTGCAGATAACTTGCAGAGAGGGAGGTGCCAGGGGGTTCCATCCTCAGGGCCCCAATTATTTATAATCTATATTAACGACTTGGATGCAGGGATAGAAAGTACTATAGCCAAATTTGCAGATAACACTATAATAGATGGGAAAGTAAATTGCAATGAAGAAATAAGACATTTACACATGGATATGGATATCTTAGGTGAAATGGCCAAAATTTGGCAGGTGAAGTTTAACCTGGATAAGTGTGAGCTTATTCATTTTTGTCAGAGGAATAGAAAAGCAATTTATCTAAACAGACCAAAACTTCAGAGTGCTATGGTGCAGAGGGATCTGGATGTTTTCGCACATCAATCGCAGAAAACTAGCATGCAGATACGGTAAGTAATAAAGGAAGGCAAATAGAATTTTGTCATTCACTGCTATAGGAAGAGAGTATAAAACTAGGGAGGTGTTGCTGCACCAAGGCATTAGTGAGACCACACCTGGAGCACTGCATACAAATTTGTTCCCCTTACTTGAGGAGGATGTAGTTGTATTGGAGGAAGCTCAGAGAAGGTTCACTAGATTGTTTGTGAAAAAATGGGGTTTTTCTTATAAAGACAGATTGAGCAGTTTAAGACTCTACTCACAAAGAAGAATGAGACAAAATCTAATAATACAAGATACTAAATGGGGTGGGGGGGGGTCTGCTATTGTCAGAGGCAGCTGCTCTTGAGAGTTAAAGGTTGTCCTTAATGTTTCAACAACATGAAATCACTTTTTATGGGTAAAAGTAACAGCACAACATAATTGCTCAAACCTTGAACAATTCCTTCTGAATTACTGACATAATGGCCATATGCCTCCCACCAATCAGCGTCCTCAGACAGCAATCTTGACTGTAAAGTGACTTGTTGGTTGGGCCTTAAATGTCTAATCTCAAGTTTGACTGGTTCATCCATAAGTCCCCTTGTTGGTTCTGCCATGATCATGGGTGCCACGCAGTAACTGTATCTTCTCTGAGCACCTAGATTTAAAAGAAGAGTACATAGACTATTTATGGAATGGAAACAACTTTTAGAAAATGTTACACATCTCCTGATATAAACAAAAATTAAAACAATTCCACTCCCACCTAAAGAATCTGATCATGCAGAATGACAATATGCATGTTTGGCAATGAACAAATCAGCAACAAGAAGTTACATTTAATAAAGGACACAATGTAATAAAATTTGCCAATGTGGTTCCGAAGAATTTTATTAAAAAAAGCAAAATTTGACATCAAACCATAAAATGAGATATTAGCCCAGGTGACCAAAAACAGGAGGTAAATTTTAAGAGGATTTTAGAGAGGTTAGAGATTGGATGCGCCAAAGGAGTTCTGGGTGGGAATTCCAGATACTGGGCCCCAGGCAACTAAAGGCATGGCCACTAAAGAAAGAGCAGTTAAAATCAGGCGTGTAGAAAAGGCTGGAATTGGAGAAGCATACAGCTTCGTAAGGCAGTACAGAGATGGGATTTTGGAATACCAGAAAGTAAGATATTGCCAGATCTGTAGGTCAACAATCAAACAGATAATAGATGAACAGTACATGGTGAGAGTTAGGATATGGCAGAAATTTGGACAGGTTCAGGTTTATGGTGACAGAGAATGGAATAGTGGACAGGAGATAAGTGAAATAATTAAGTTTAGTCAACTCAAGGTTGAGTGGCTCAGCAGCAGATGAGCTAAGGCATGTATCAAGATGAATAAAGTTATGGAGATAGAAGATGCAAATATAGTAGGAAACTCAGCTCAGTTGCAAATGGTCTAGTTCAGCCTTGGACAGTGAATGCTGAGAACAGAATATGTGGTAGGGACAATGGCTTATGTCCTCCCAATACTTAGCTGCACGGTATCCTTATTTTTCATCCACATACTCCCCGCTGTCTGGCTGCCTGTCTGACATACGTTCCTGAAAGAGCAGAAATACCCTGCAGCTAAGTATTGAGAGGACATAAGCCATATGAATGGGATACTTTTGTTTCCACTAATTTGACTTATTTACATGAGTGAGAGTTATTAAATGGTTCCTTAACCATCAGTGGTCGTGATAGAACCCCCACATTATGATTTCAGCACAATGGGATCTCAAACAGATATATTTTGCAATATTCAGTCATTATACAAAATAATTAGTGAGTAGACCAGACTTAATAACAAAATGAAGATATCATCCAAAATTTTGGATTTAATTGAAAAGGTTACTTTAGAGTATTATACTATACCTGAAGGGAAGCATTTTTGAATAGACATTTTCTTGTTGTTATTATTAAGATGGTTGTATTTATAGAATCCTAGTCTCCAGAGGGATTTCATAACCTAGTAAAGTAACAAGTGAAACAACAGTGAAAATGTTACAATTGGGATTAACATATCTATCAACGATGATTAAAATTACCATTGCTGCAGCTCTATAAGTTGGCTTGCTATAATTATAATTTGTTTTTGACCAATTACACAATATCATATAATTTGAATAAGTAAATGAATAACTCCAAACGTGTAACCTACGTATATGCTTCTTTGTCACATTTTAAACAGAACTAACAGAGCAGAAAAATGTGACATAAGTAACTTAAGTGTTTTTAAAAAGTAGTAACAGATATCAAAACTCTGATTATAAGCTCAGATAGAGAAAAATTGCAGAAATCTATGGAAGAGGGATTTCGAAGTCCTTGTGCATGAACCACAATAGCCAGTATACAAGTTCAGTGGGTAATTGAGATGGCACATGGAATTTTGACAGTCATTTCAAAGAGAATGGAGTTTAAAAGTAGGGAAATTTTACTAAAACTATACAAGGCACTAGTCAGATCACGATTGGAATACCACGAAGAACTGTGGGCCCATTATCAAAGCAACAGGCAGTCTAAAGAAGTTTCACTAGCCTTATATGGACGGACAAACTTATGAAGAGAGGTGAAGTAGGTTGGGCCTGTACACACTGGAATTTAGAAGAATGAGTGGTGACTTTATTGAAAGACAAGATTATTAGGGTATTGACAGGGTAGATGAGTAGAGATTACTTCCCCATGTTAAACAGTCTAAGATCAGAGAACATAATCTCAGGATGGAGCAGGGGTGGGGTGTCACACATTTAAGACAGAGATGAGGACAAATTTCAGAGGGTAGAAAATTCATGGAATTCTTTACCACAGAGCGTGGTCAAGGCTAGATCATTAAGTCCATTCAAGGCTGAGATGCAGATTTCTTTTTTAAAATCAGTCAGGGGATCAGGGTTACAAGGAAAAGGCTGCAAAGTAGAGATGATGGTCATCATATCAGCCATGACCTCACTGAATTCAAAGCAGGCTCAATGAACTGAATAGCCTACTTCTGCTCCTACATCTACCTGCAACTGGCATTAATCACAGTGACCTGCCTCCATGAGCCAATTAAGCATTAACAAACTTCATCATTAAAACTAAACTGCTAACAAGTGTTTGAAAACATTTTTATTGTTTAGAATCAATAACATCCTTGAGCAACAGTCTTTTGTCACCTGTTTCTGGATGGCACGAGCAGAACATTTCGTTTAAACTATTGTGTATCCAATGATACATCTGTCTTATCACAAATGCGATGACTCCAAATAATTTTAAAAAACACAAAATAAACAAAAACAGATCTTGTAGCCAAATGAAACATTTGTCTCAGACCTGTTGTGCCACCAGTCAGAGGCAGCAGAAAGCTCCAGAGAGATGAAAGTACGTGGTGTGAATAGCCATCAAATGTAACCCAAAAATACTTCTAAAAAGCTGGCTGTGGGCAGGGGAAAATGGACCGTGTAAACTCTATATAAAATATATCTGTAACTAGAGTTGCCATAAAATTGATAGAAATATGTAGAGAATTGTCTGCAACATAGAATCACAGAAACAGAGACACTGAAGTAAGGGAAAGAAAATGCTGAGTAATTGCTTCAAACCTACTGTGGAGGTAACTCCAGAGTTGTCAGGATGTTTGAATACTGTCTGCTCTCTTAACCGATCAAAGTCACTTTGTAGGCTCTTTATGTGTCTTCATAACTTAGTCTTTGTATCATAGCTAATTATGATTCATTTACCCCTACACCATGAGCTCTTATTTGCCATGGTAACCTTTGATATGGCACTTTATTGGATATCCAAGTGTATCATACCTACAAGTTTCTCTTGCATCCACTTTACTGGTTACTTCTTCAAACAACTCTAATAAACATTATTCAAACATGATTTGTCTTAAACAAAATACACCTACTCTGCCTAATCGTAAGATTTTCTGAACATCCTATTAACTCCTTAATCTGTTCTACAACAGATCTTAGGTTTACCGACCTATAGTTTATAATTTTGTCTTCTTTCCTGTATCGAGACATTACATTAGTGATTTTCCAATCAGGTGCTAACTTCCCAGAATCCACAGCATTTCAGATCAAAATCAACGTATATACTATCAATGCTACCACTTCTTTTATAATCTAGGATTGCAAGTTATGAAGTCAAGCTAACTTTCTCTCATTTTCCAGTCTCCTTCATTTTTAAGTACGCCTGATTGGTTTCTAAATCTGCCAACCTTCTATCTACCAAATCTTCCCAGTATTGTACTTGAAAGTGCGAGCATTGGTTGCGATGGGAAATTGCGGAGGACAAGAGAACACTTTCCACTATTATTTAGGCCGCGCCCAAAAACTGTTGACTTCCGAATTACATCCGTGACTACATTTCAAAAAACTATAACACTGACTGTGAAGGTACCGAGTCGTGAAAATTTAAAAAAAGCTGCCGAGTGAAAATCTCATCCTTCGACGCCGAGCTCTGCTGCTCGGGGTGGGGAAAGAGGTGAGGGCAAAAGGAAGTCCTTACCTGTAACTGAACACAACAAAATGAGCTGGTGTTTTTATTAAAACGAAAGGTGAAAAGTGGGGTCAATGAAAAAAAAATTCCAAAAGAAAAAGTTTGGAAACAGAAACTGAGCCAAAAACCGCTTCACTCCCCACTGCGATTTCTACACGTAGCTGCAGACGGAATTTAATTTCACGGCCGCCTCCGTGATGCATACGCGCTGCTCACCGGCGCGAAATTTGAACCAAAGCGCGAGCAGCGACCGTTAGACGACGCCGATTCTGTGTTACTGTTTGACGGGAGAGAGGACAGTCATAGCATCCCTACCGCGTGGAAGCAAGCCATTCGGCCCATCGAGTCCACACCGACCCTCTGAAGAGCATCCCACCCCCATCCTTGTAACCCTGCATTTCCCATGGCCAATCCCCATAGCCTGCACATCCCTGGACACTATGGACGATTTAGTATGGCCAATCCACCTAACCTGCATAAAAACCAAAAGAACTGCGGATGCTGTAAATCAGGAACAAAAACAAAGTTGCTGGAAAAGCTCAGCAGGTCTGGCAGCATCTGTGGAGGAGAAAACAGAGTTAACGTTTCGGGTCCGGTGACCCTTCCTCAGAACTTCCACCTAACCTGCACATCCCTGGACACTATGAGCAATTTAGCATGGCCAGTCCACCGAACCTGCACATCTTTGGACTGTGGGAGAAAACCGGAGCACCCAGAAGAACCCCACGCAGACACGGGGAGAATATGCAAACTCCACACAAACAGTCACCCAAGGGTAGAGTCGAACCCTGGGTCCCCTGGTGCAGTAAAGCAGCAGTGCTGACCACAGAGCCACCATGCTACCTTAAGAGGTTTGGCAGCTGGACCGAAGGTGGAGAAATTTTAAATTTCATTGTGTCCTAATTATATTTGCACACAGGACATTCCGAGCTGGTACTTCCTCGTATTTTTCATCCATCTCTGTTGGCATATCTGCTTTTCTCATTCAGCACTGGACCAGCTTCCCCTAAAATGCATCTATGCTATTTGTCTTCTGTGGAAGCAAGCTCCGCTCTCTGAGCAAAGTGGAGTCTTTTACAGAATTTCCTATCAGACTTAATAAAACTATGTACAGATTTAATCTCATTTATCCTAGCGCTGACACGCAGCAGCTGCAGTCACTGAGATGTATGACAACAACTGGCCAAGGATCCTTCAATAGCACCATCCAAGCTCATGATTACGATCTGGAAGGACAGTGGCAGCTGATGCATGGTAACTGTAGCAATTCAAAAATATTTATGGCCCTAAGTTCTGGACTTGCCTAGATTGAAACATCTGTGCACTTAGTCTGTCAAATGTGTTTTTGATTTTAAAGATGAGCTTCTGGTGAAAGAACGACTTAATTGAGCTGAATCAAGTTGAAACTGGATCCTCATTAAGTGAATTAGATAAGCCTTTTATAAGTCTATAAGAAATAGGAACAGAAGCATGCCGTTTAGCCTCTCGGGCCTGCTCAGCTATTCCATTGGATCATGGCCTGATCCAACATTCTTCACATCCACTTTCCTACCCTTTCCCTGTAACTGTTGATTCCCCTATTGATCAAAAATCCATTTATCTATCTCAGCCTTGAATATACACATGGACTGACCTGCAAGTTTTACTCCCTTCACAACTGACTCTCAGTGACAAGAGTATGTACCATCTACAAGATGCATGGCAATAATTCACCAAGGATCCTTTGACAGCACCTTCCAAGCCTGCTACCACTACTACTTAGAAGGACAAAGGCAGCAGAAGCATGAGAACATCACCATCTACAAGTTCCCCTCCAAGTCACACACCATCCTGACTTAGAACTTTGTCACCATTCCTTCTCTGTTATTGGGTCAGAATCCTAGAACACCCTTCCTAACAGCTCAATGGGTGTCTATACACCCCAGGTACTATAGTGATTTAAGAAAGCAGTTCACTGCCACCTTTTCAAAGCCAGTTAGGAATGAGCAATAAATGCCATCCTAGGCAGCTGTACCCACATCCCACGAACGAATAAAAGAACAGTCTTTTAGAAAACCGGGGGATAGAATCTCAGCATCAACCCTGTCAAACTTTCTCTGAGACTTAAATGTTTCAATCAGATTACCTTTCATTCTTCTAATCTTCTGAGAATATAACCTCGTTCCACTTTTCATTCTTTTCATCGGATAACCCTTTCATCCCTGGAATCAATTTAGTGAACCCCATTGCATCCCTTTTAGGTAAATATATCTTTACATAGGTAGGGAAACTAAAAAAAAACAATTGTAGTCTCATCAAATCTGTGTACGATTGCAGCAAGACTTGCGTACTCCTCTCACAAATGACATGCTATGCAACTGAACAGGGTCCTGCAATGGTAGTGCCATTAAATATCAGGTGGTTAGATTGCTACTTGTTGGAGGTGGTCTTGTTTGACACTTGTGTGAGGTAAGTGTACTTGCCATTTATCAACCCGTTGTTGTGTCAAGCGTGATTAACTGAAATTAAAAAAAATAAAAATAGAAACCTGGAAAAACACATCCATCAGAATTTGAAAAGCGTAAAGATAGTTTTAGATTTTAAGTATAAATTCTTCTTCAGAATGGATCTTTGAGTGAAACATTAATCAGTTTCTTCCCATCAGCTGCTCGTGTCCATATGAGTATTTCCAATATTATATATGTCTATTACAAATATATGAATGTGTGGACATAAGAAAACAGGAATAAGAAAATCAAGGATCATAAAAATAAGTTACACTAAATCATAATTAATTAAAAAAAGAGAGAAAGAGAAATATTAAGAAAGTAAAAACAGCTGACGAAAATAAAATGGGCAAATTCGGGATGTTCATGATTAGTGTAACACAGCAGGTGGTGTGTTCAGAAGCGACACAAAAACTGTAATAAATAATTAGTAACAAATTCAAGGCTCTTGAAGAAAAGTGTAACTCTTTTCTATATATTAACCACATCAATTGATTTTATCTAATTGTAGTAATGGTAAGAAAGATGAGAAGCTGAAGTTCAATACAAGACAACAAGGTGCAGGGCTGGATGAACACAGCAGGCCAAGCAGCATCATAGGAGCAGAGAGGCTGACGTTTCGGGCCTCGACCCTTCATCAGAAAAGGGGGAGGGGAAGGGGGTTTTGA